AAATTTCTGATTAATAAAAGTTAAAATGAGATACAATTCGCTTTTTTCCCATTGTTTCAGTTCCTTTACTTTCGTCCCATTCATTAATCAATTAAAGGGCTCCTCCCATAACTTTATCAGATTCTTTTTTGCAGGGGATGAAATGACAAAACCGAGTGGCTTTAATAACGTTGAAAAATGATAAGGAGAAATTAAACAAAAATATTTGAATGCATTACATTCTGTCGTCATCATACTAACCATGTCAGATTATCATAGAAGAAAATATAAAAGAAAAGGATGAATGTTCTTTTAGTCTTAGTTAGATTAAGCCTTCAACCTTTTACCAAACAGAACCCTTTTTTCCAGTTCATTTTATCATGAATAGAAGAATATAATGTGATATTATATAGAAAAGAGAGAATAAAAAGATCTGTATACGAGGAGGCATGCAACAGCTTATGGTCAGTAATGTTAAACCTAGAGGGATTAATGCTTTTTCAATTATTTTTACATTGCTTTATTTGCCTCTCTTTATTTCTACGTCTCGTTTACTTTCTTTTTTTGCTCCTGAGATTATGAAATTAATTATGTGTCAGGCATAATGAATTAACAATCTACAAAACAGCTATGACAGAGTGAGAGTAAAAGCCTTACGGCGCAAAAATATTTTAAGATTATTTTTGAAATGAAAAGTAAACCATTATTGACCTTGGATTGAACTTATAAAAAATTCCTCAAATTAAACATTGTTTTGAATTTAAGATCCAGCAGCAGTAAAGCTAATAAACTTTCAAGCTTTCTCTCTAAAAAAGCAGACAAGTTTACAATAATAAAGAAAATCTTTTAAGTTTCATTTTCCCATGGACTTCCCCACATCGCAACTTTACCTCTAAAAATTTCATAGCTCATCAATTTATTTATTAAAGAAGTAACAAAATCTCATAGTACTATCCCGAGCGCAAAAGCTTATCATGCTGAGAATCTAATGGGCATTCAAAAGCTGTCAATAAATCGATAAAAACATATTCAACCTAACTTAACAATCATAAAAAAGTCAAATAAAAGCACTGATAATAATGTTGACTGTAAATTTATATTTATGTCTTTCTTTCTATCACCCTTATAAAGAGGAAGTCTATAAAATAAAATCACAATGTCTTCTTCTCAGATATTTTTCTGTTTTAAAAAAATTCAATTCACGGTGTACATGAAAATTTCCTCTTTTTTCCACAGTTGATGAATCCGTGTGTGTATGTGTGCATTTCAATAACAATAACAACAGCAATTTTCAGGCTTTACGGTAAATATAAATAAATCAAAAAGTCAAGAGACAAAGTTTGAAGATGAGATTTTTTTTCCATGTTAGCTTCATCATACCGTGAAAATGTTCACTAAACTTTCTTTCTGTGTTCTTCCCCACTCATTTTTTATCTCATTCTTTCTTTCTTTTCGTCTTTCATCCAAAAAATAGCTTAAATAAGGAACTTTTGTTATTTCATATTAAAGACACAGACATTCATTTTCTACGTTGAGTAAAGATATTCTTAGAAATCTGATTAAGATCTTTTGAAGTGTCATAAGCATTAAAGAAATCCTTACGATACTTTTCCTTCCTGTATGAGCACATGTTTCGAAAGATAAGAGCTTAAGAGTAGTAAGTGGTGTCATTGAAACTTCAAGGCGCATTCTAATGATGAAAAATGCAAAAAGTTGTATGCTATACTTAGAAAACCAAATAAAGGTCAATTCTATGTATGCTGCATCAATTATTGAAAGTTATTTCGATTACAAAAATACTCATCATAAAAATTGTATTAGTTAAGCGGTAAGGATCGATAATATTGTTGTGGTTGAGAATAGCTTGGCAAATTAAATTGATGGCTAATCGAGATATGAAATATCTTTTTTAATGATCATTTATTTGTTAAGTTCAACATTCAAGGGGAAGTTCAAGGTTAGGATTAATGAGTCCAAATGCTTTGATGCGAGAATCGATAGGATAGCTTGATCCTAAATCCACAACTTTACAAACCTCATCTCCAAATAATCCGTTAACTATGTTATCTTTTAAATTTAATATTTAATAAGGTAAGAAAAAAAAATCCACAGTCAGTGATGTTTCCACTTCAAAAAGTTTTCATCATTTTAATAAGATCAAATCTGTTAATTTTGCGAAAATTTCTCGTATTTCCTTCAGAAAAAAGTGGCAGCGATCCGTAATAATTAACTTTGGCTCCACGAGATTCGTTATGAACCGTATAATTAAATACATGCAAAAAAAAACCATCGACGGATAATCGAATTTTCTTCCATTTATTTTATGAGTAAACGTAAATGCCATTTAATTAAATGAGCAGAGAACAAATTGAACATCCTTTTTTCACTAAGAAGAAGTGCCTGCACCAATAAGAAAGAATTGAACATCATTTTATTACGAAGAAAAGATAGGAAAAATGGTAAAAAAAACTGACGATGGCATTAACTCAGAAGCGAAAAAAGAGAAAGAGAAAATGTTTATAAGTTTTCATCCTCGCAACTAATAAAAGTTGCTCTACTTCCCAATCTTCTACCTTCATTCCTTTATCAGGGAGCAGTTGTTGTCAACATTTAACTTCATAGTGAATTAATTAAAAACTTTAAGATTTTTTTTCTAGCGAAAGCTGACAAAAAAACAGAGATTTAATTAGAAAAAATTATTGCGTAACTTGAACTTTTTAATAAAACGAGAAATTTGCGAAACTGCAACAGAATTCATTCAAAACATTCTTCTACAAATTTAATTTTACTTAAATGCTTAAATCAGCGGGTAATTTTTAAATTATCCTTCATACATGTCTTGCGGTGTTTTCCATTATTTTAACAATGAACAACAAAAATTCCACCCTCGCATTTACGAGTGTTGCAAAAATTCTCACTTGATTTCATCTCAAAGCGGAACAGCAGCTTTACTTTAACAAACTAAGTTATGTATTTTAGGCTCATTTGAAAGGCAAATGTTTTTTACAAAGCTACTAGGGTCGTTCATAGAAGACATACTCAAGTAAATTGAAAATTTAACTTGTATATTTATAATGTCATTCTTTTATCAGTTTTCAAGGAGTACGAATGATTAAGATACTAAGTAGAGCTTTAGAAAACATTTATGTAGTTTTTCACAGTTTTTCAAGTAGACGGGGTGTCTGATGGGGTGTATTCTACACCTTAAAGTAGCTTGAAAATGTTTTAAGAGCCTTAGGAACCAAGCAGAGGATTAAATGGATCCTAGAAATGGAGGTGAGCAATTAGAATGAAGTCTAAGAAAATTCCGTTTCTAAGAACGTCACTTGTGAAAAACCCATCCATAAAATCTATAAAATTAAATTTATTAAAGATTAATCAAACAAAGGAACTAGAAATTATTGATTTATAGCTAATTGATATGAAAAACTTGCAGTTTTTCCTCCGTTTTTTGTGGTTTTTATTTTGTTTACTCATAATTAATGAATCCGAGGCATGGAAAGTTATTAATTTGTTTGCCGAATTCAGATGATGTAAATACATTATTATCATGGTATTATGAAGCTAATTACCTTAGTTTGTAAGATGATATTAATACGTTTAATTTGTTATTTGTTTTTCAGCTTATCATTGTTACGCACAAAAACCATTTATTTTATTTAATTCTAGCACTTAAGTGCCATAATATATTGCTCAGTAATGTATTAGTCTCAGGTTAAGATTTTGGTTGGTAGAAATTCTATGTAAATTTGATTCGACACGTGCAATTTGGTAGAGCTAGTGGTAAGCATAAGGACTGAGTACGAGGTTTGGCTGTTAATCATCAGATAAATGTGAGAATGCTTCAAAACTGTTTAACATATCTTTTCAGCACAATGAAGGAGGCGTTCTTAAATGACATTCGACTAAGACACGCTTCATACAAACTTCTACCAACCTGGATGTTCTGAAGTTCCCAATTCTTTTAATACACTTAATATATGAAAGCTTCCCAACAGTAAAAAGGTTTCCAATTCATTTACAGGAATAAAATTATGGAACTTTCACTCAACAGTCTTCATTCACAATCAACAACAAGCAAAAAATCTTAAAAGAACTTCAAACAGCTTTCCCCCATCCCGAATAACATCAAATTAATTTATATTTACAGCAGGAAATGTTCGTACTTTCCATAAATATATTATTCCATTTATTTAAGATTATTATAAATTATGTAAAGTTAAGCTTCTTTGACTTTTATACAACTCATCATAAATGATTGATTCAATATTTAAGCCTACGACAATGAATTCCTTTATACAGCGACATTTGCTGACAGAGATAGAATTTTTATCAATATTCAGAATGTTTGTCATAGCGACGACCGCAAAATGAAGTAAAAGGCTTTTTCCATAAAGTTCATAAAATATTGTTGTAAGCCTTGTGGATGTACGAAGTATGAAGTTTTTATTAATTTTGTTTCCTAGGTGTCTCTATGGATCAGGTGGATGACTTGAATATTATTTCAGCGAAACAGATGATTCCTAGTTCACATTTTAAAGTTTATAAACAAATTCTAGGATTTAAAATTAAATCCCCAAGTTTATTTTTAATCCAGCTAATCAGATTTAATTCCAATGACAATTCCCAAAAGCTTTCTTTTTCTCAAAAATTCCCACACGTCCGTAAAACGCTTCAAAATTTCAATTAGTGACAAAACAAGAAGTCAGTGAACATCCCACGGAATCGAGTCTTACAATCCTTGTAATACAAGGCTAAAATAACTTTTTGCTGTACAAAAATTACTCGGAACAGAATACAAGAATATTACATGCATAAAATATTCTTGAGAAATCAAAACATCACTTTAAGCGCCTTTCCTTACATGATAAGGTACGATAAGGAAGGAGAGAGCAAAAAGGCAATTTTCGAGTGCGACATGCGTATGTAAATGTAACACAATTTGAGATCCGAACAGCAAAAAAAAGCATGTCATTTAAATTTTATATCAAGTTATAAGGAACAGATTGTTTGGTACTCACCGAAACCATATCTTCAATTGCTGTTGCATTCTTCGATCCCAACATAACCATTCCCATAGCTATGCCAGCACCTTCTCCGGTAACAGCATCGTCTTGATATAGATTAAATTTCAATTGCTCGTAAACGTCTTGACGGTGCGTACCCATCGCAGCAAGACCCAATCCTAAACATCCACCGTGACGAACATTTTCATTTTGAGCATCTTTCAGCTGTTGTAGCAAATAATCGATAATATTTGCACCATGATTTGCATGAATCAAACCGAGAGCATATAATCCACCGCCTTCTGAATATCCACTATGTCCTGATTCTTTTGGCAAGTAACTTTGCATTAATGCCAATGACTCGTTCTCATGTCCACGATGAATAACGCCCAAGCTTGCTGTTGCCGTTAATTTTGCCCAATTTGTAGCTCGTGCTAGCCATTCAAGATTATCTCGCAAAAATTGATCACTTGTCGTTCCGCTGTGCATGAAAGCATTTGCAATAACGGTAGCTGTATGACAAATCGAAACCCGCACCGACTCCTTTGTTGCTCGCAAAATTTGCAAATCAGCATGATTGCTACGAATGAGAAATTGTAGCTGTAGATCAATTGAAACTTCTCCGGATAAGATGCTTGCCAGCTTTTCAATATTCTTTTGATGTACTTTTTCACTATCGTTTAAGCTTTCAATGGAACGTTCACTCGTCATTTCCACATCTGAGTCAGTTTTCGATAATTTTTCATCTTTCGATGCTTCCTTTATTCCCTGTGGTTTTAAATTGGATACGAGAGCAGATGGTATTGGTGCTGTTGACTTCAATGCTTGCAAAACTTTGCCCAAAAACTCTTGACATGCTGACTCGTACAAATCGAAAGCAATTTGATATGCCATTAAGACTAAGCTTTCGCCACCTTTAGTAAGTGTGTCCAAAAGTTTGGCAACTTGCATTGGATCTTCCAAGAAAATTAAGCATTGGACCATATTGACATAGTCAGGAACACCTAAGCTGCTATAGAGCTCAACTAAGCAATGCAAAACAGTATTGCGGAATCCACGATTTTGAATCAAGCTCATTGTAACTTGGAAAGCATAAGCAAGCATTCCACCAACATCCTCCGACTTCATAATGGATTCTTTGAAAATATCCATACGACGAGTTTCGAGAGCAATTCCAAGTGCCTGACGATGTTGTCCATCTTCTAAGCATCTTGAAAGCATACGATTAACAATAGCTTCCAAACGTGGATCAATTGGCTTTGCATCCTTATCATCCTCGAATTTAGCAACACATTGTTGAGTATAGAAGTCAATACATTTGGCAACGATTGTGTCTACATACTCATTGCGTGCATTAACATCAAATAGCTCTCCGGCACCTAATGCATAAGTCAAACTGTCTTCAAATGCTCCCAAATGATAGTAAACTTTAGATGCGACTAAAGCAGCCAACTTGTGCTGATCGAATTCCTTGTCTTCATGAAGAATCTCACTAGATGTAGGAAGAAAGAATGTCGATTTAATTAGATTTTGCAATATTAGTGACTCATCAACAAATTAACTTACATCTTCTCGACAGCTTCCGATATTTCAGGCCAGAACTCATCAACAATGCTATCCAATTTCTTCAATGCAAACACCTTCAGTTCAGGCATTGGTTCATCGAGTAGGGAAATGATCCCAGCTAATTAAATTCATTTAAAAAAACGGTGTGAATATAATTATTATTAAGGTTACGATGACTTGCACAATTTTTTAATAAATCATGAATTAAACTATATTTCCTTACCAGCAGATGTAATTGTCATAATCATTTTGATGCGCTTTACTTGATTTTATCACTTCACACAATTTAATTCACAATGTTCACTTGATTTAATTAATTATTCACGATTTTGTGCCGCAAAAATTTCTTTTGTTTTGACCGAAATCAGATTTTGAAAGTAATTTACCCCGTTCTTTGAGGGGCTTGCAACTGTTTTTGGAATATCCAAGAGAAAACGAGTTTGTTTACGTTTCTTTGTGTGAATCTTAGTCATAAAAATTAATTAATTTGAGTGTTTAGAGATGTCTGCATATGATTGGGATACACACAATAGACAGGCTGTGGCTGAAGGACGTCAAATACTTGAAAGAACAACAGCTTCGCTTGCCAGATCAAATCAAGTAAAAATAAATTTACATTTTATCTACTCGTCTTTCGAGCATCTCTTTTAGTGTATTTTCTTTAAGAAAATACGTTTTTAAAATTGCTGGCTTCGTTAAATTAATTTTCTATTTTTTTCGTGTTGCACATTATTGATATTGAACTAGCCAATGAGTTTAAATTTCAAAAAACTGTTGACTTTTGAATATAAAAAAACCGTTATTTGAAAATTCTTATTTTTTTAACATTAGGGACCGTTCACTTATTACGTTCGGATTTTAAGGGGGAGGGGGGGTTTGAAAAATGAGGGGGGTGTGAAAAAAGTCGTTTTTTTGCGTAACGTAATAAGTGAACGGCCTCTTAATTATTGACTGTTATTTTCTATCCTAATTAAATAGGTTGCAATAGAAACAGAGAATACAGGAACTGAGATTTTATCAGAATTAGATTCCCAACGAGAAGCATTGCTAAGAACAGGCCAAAGACTTGATAATGCCGATGATGGATTATCATCAAGTAACAAAATTATGCGAACGATGCTACGAACTGCTTTTTACAATAAGCTTATACTTATATTAATTATATTCCTAGAAATATGTATTCTTGCTGGCATGATTTATATGAAATTTGTTAAATAGCTGTAAGATTCTTATTGTGTCATTTCCATGGATTAGCTGGATGTACTAAGGGGTTTACGATTCGAATAATTGAGTGTTTCGTGAGTTTTTGTTTAAATTGAATAGATTTAAGATGTTCTTGAAGTGAGTTTTGATCAGAGTTGCGATCTGTCACAGGTCAACGAAAACAGCCCACCTGTCACAGGCCGTTACCTGTTCACAGGTCAATTTTTTCCACCTGTCACAGCTCTGACCTGTCGCAGGCCTCACCTGTGCATAAAATGGCATAAAATATTAAAACTAGTATAGACTTTGTCATTTGAGACCACAAAAAGTCGAAATATATAATAAATTATAATCCAAGATTACGATTTCAGAACATCTAGATCTAGTAAAAGAGCCTTTGTGTCAGATTTCAGCTTGGTAAACTAAAGTATGACAAAAAAAGTTGAATTTGTATGAAAATATATGGAAAAAATTTAAAATATAGAAAGTGAAGAAATAAAATATGAAAATGAAAAACTTTGTCATAAAACTTAATGTTATATCAAAAAAGTTTAAAAACAAATCATAAAAATGCAAAAAAAGAAAGTTGCTTGCGGTGAGATTTGAACTCGTGACTTGAGGAAGAAAAAAAATTGATGAATTTTATATGAAATCTTTATACTTCACTAGAAGAAAAAAATTTCGATAGTCAAAGGTGACAGGTGACAGGTGACAGGTAGATTTTTTCTACCTGTCAACAGGTGACGACCTGTCACAGGTGAGGCCTGCGACAGGTCAGAGCTTTGACAGGTGGAAAAAATTGACCTGTGAACAGGTAACGGCCTGTGACAGGTGATCTTTTGACAGAAACTGTCACCTTTACCTGTGACAGGTACCTGTCGTCACAACTCTGGTTTTGATTTAGCGGTTATTTTTTAATTTAAATTTTTAACGAACCACAAAAGTGGTGAGTTTTGGAATTTAAATTTTTAAAAGCTGTTAAAATTTGAATCAAATAAAACCGTTAAAATTATTTCTTCAAAAATCCTTAAAGTTAAGAACGTTAAATTAACATTTAAACATGCTCTAAGCCAAAGCTATTCCAGTCATATACCCCCGAATAATCAGCTGGATCTCAAAACATTTTATTCTTATTTTTAATAAATAAAAGTTTTTGCGTATCTTGTATTTTATGTATAAGACTTTAAGTTTTATTGTACCCAAAAGGATCTTTAACAGAATGTCTTCCGTTGATGTTGCAGGTAAATAATAAATTCACTTCTAATCTTATTAAAAATTCATTAACTGACATTTCCGTATTATTCTCATAACAGCACTAAGAATAAAATATCTAGAAAAGAAGGAAGTCTTTCGTGAGGATTCAATTGAAAAGAAAGATCCAATTTTTCTGTTTAAGAAATGGCTTGATGAAGCAATTACGAATGAAGAATTATTGGAACCAAATGGAATGTGTTTGGCGACTGTAAGCAAGTGAGTGAAATTTATTGAATAATAGATGTGATAAGGAATTATCTATAGACATAGTTGGTAAATAGAAATTGATCGTATAAGTGTTTTGACTGAATTCCTAGATGTTATTCTACTACTTGTCTCTTATCATTTCAAGTAGTTTCAAGGGTTCCATTTTTTTTTTCTATTTCATTATTTATGAGTTTTAAGTCTAATTTGTATGGATAAGTGTCAAAGATCAATGGATGGGGGGTAAAATCCCCGAAAGATATTAATTCCACGATCCTGCGGGATGATAACCCCGAAAATCGCAAATTTTTAAATGTTCCCTGCGAGATAATATTCCCACTTAGAAATACACGTGGAATTATTATCCTTCCCGAAAGATAATAATCCCACCTATAATTACAAGTGGGATTATTATCTCCCAGGTAGATAATAATTTGACTTACATTACTAAGTGGGATTATTATCTTGATGGAACACAATTAAAATTATGGATTAAATCAAATCCAAAAACTTATTTGTCATAGTGGATAATAATTCCACTTGTATTAATAAGTGGATTTATTATCTAATAGGATTTTCATCCAAAAAAAATCCCACTTATTAATTTGTCAATTTCATTATTCCAAAAACTTAAATATTAAGAAAACATAAATATTGGTTGAATGTTTAAGTTGAAAACTTGGTTTTTATCGTTTTATGCCTTTTGTAAATTTTTTAAAAAGCCTAGAGCCTAGATGTTTAATGTATCAAAGATCTATTCACTCAAGAACTCATATTCACACAAAGTTTTCAATTTTTTGTTTTTGCAAATAGTTTTGAAATGAAGTCTTTCAAAATTTAAAACGTGCGGAACTAATAAATCACGTTTTTATCATTTTTGTCATTGGCAAAATTTGAGTTCACGTGATGCAGGATAGAGGATGCAGGATTTTTTGCTTTTTTGGAAGCAATGGTTGTTTCTACCTTATCCAATAAAAAAATAAAGCCTTATCCTTTTTAACGCAGCAAGAATCAAAATGCAATAATTAGAAGTCTCTAAGATGCCTCGTTATTGAGATTTTTGCTGATTTACTTGCCTTGATGCTTGTTTGCTTACGTATCATGCGATTTTCCCATCAATGCTACAGCCAATTTAAATTCTGTTTTTGTCCATTTGCTTTTGTTCCTCAAAATGCGAAAAACTGTTTTTCAAGCTGAACAAAAATAAAGTGAATATGGTGTGAATATAAAATCTGTTTTAGCATATAAAATTTTTTTTATATTCACACCGTATTCACTTGTGAATCTATTGGTTTTGTTCAGATTGAAAAATCAGTTTTTCGCATTTTGTGTGAAAACAAAGTGAAATTGGTTATAAAAAGTCAAGAAGAAAAGTTTGTACCTGAAATTTTACATCATTTTCAAAAAACAGATTTCAAATTGGTTGTGGCATTGCTGAGAAAATCGCAAAATACGCTTTCTGTAAGCAAACAAGCAAGCAAGCAAGTTAATCAGCAAGAAATATCAATAACGAGACATCGTAAAGACTTCTAGTTTTTTACATTTGATCCGTGCTGCTCTATAGAAGAGCTGTATTGTTTTTGGGCAAGGTAGGAACATCCGTTGCTTCAGAAAAAGCAAAAAACTTTCCTTTCTTACGAATTTTTTAAAACAAAAGTTGACTGTGATTTTTATAAAATTCAAGTTTGGATGAAAAATTTTTTTTAAAAACTTAAAGAATGTTCGTTAAGCTTTAGACCTTCAAACTTATGCTGAGCGAAGCTCAGTTGACTTATCAAGCTTCATACCTTCATACTTATGCTGGGAAAATCTTGGTCTATCCATTAGACTTTTGATGGTACGGTATGAATATAATCCGCATTGGGTTTCTGCCCGATACACTAGTTCTGACTTTATTTTAAGTTTTTCTTTAAAAGAGCTCAAGTTTGAAAGAACTTACAAAATATTTTGTTTGAATTTTGTACGAATCACTTTAATTATTTGCTGAACATTTTCTATAAATTTGTGGCCATCAGTTTGTTTAAGTAACCCTGTATACCTGAATAATCAGAATAATTTCGAAATTTTGAGATTATAAACAATCAAATCTTTTAAATGGTCTAAAACCATTGGAAACCTTCTTGGGGCTTGTATACACGGTTAAACAGCATCAGAACTGCCATCATTTTAAAATTCTAGTTAATTTAATAAGAATTTGAGCAACAGAATTTTAATTTTGCGTTCTTTTTATGTTTAAATCTCTACATTTTTCTTAGCAAAACGTGTAAAAAAATATTATGATTATATTTATAAATCTAATTTTGTTAAGGGCAATTTACAATTATTTGAAAGACTTTTGGAAAATTTCAGGAAAGAATCGAAAATTTATTATTTTGCCCATTAGAGGTTAACATATCTACTCCTAAACATTTGAACAAAACTGTGATTTTTAAACAGTTGAATGAATGAAGCGAAACAAAATGGAATTACAGCTACGTTTTCTTCAAACATTCAAGCGAATCTCGAACATAATTTTATATGGAATAGCTAACATCTTTAGATCAGTTGAACTCACTTGAACCCACCTTGATTTTATTTTTTAAACAATTTGGAATAATATATTTTTAAAAAGCAAACATTCAACTAATATTTATGTTTTCTTCTTATTCAATTTTTTGGAATAATGAAATTGACAAATTAATAAGTGGGATTTTTTTTTGGATGAAAATCCTATTAGATAATAAATCCACTTATTAATACAAGTGGAATTATTATCCACTATGACAAATAAGTTTTTGTATTAGATTTAATCCATAATTTTAATCGTGTTCCATAAAGATAATAATCCCACTTAGTAATGTAAGTCAAATTATTATCTACCTGGGAGATAATAATCCCACTTGTAATTATAGGTGGGATTATTATCTTTCGGGAAGGATAATAATTCCACGTGTATTTCTAAGTGGGAATATTATCTCGCAGGGAACATTTAAAAATTTGCGATTTTCGGGGTTATTATCCCGCAGGATCGTGGAATTAATATCTTTCGGGGATTTTACCCCCCATCAGATCAATGCATAGCAGTTAATTATTTTATTTGTCTGAAATTAAACGATCATTTTGTTTTTAAATTTTAACGAAACAAAAACTTTGAGTTTTGAAATTCAAATTTTTTACTCGTAAAATCAGTTTAGTACGCACAATGTCTTTTATCCCACAAAAATCATAAAAACGCATTTCCATCAAATTATCATCATTTCAAAAAAATCAATTTTGTTGTAATTTCCTCTCAATATTAATTTACCATTCAAAGAGCTGGTCTGCCATCAGCACGTTTCGTTTTATTGAAATCGGTTGAAGAACGTGGATTTACATTCTTTACAAATTATGGAAGTCGTAAAGCGCAAGATATGAGTGAGAATCCAAACGTAGCAGCCACATTTTATTGGTTACCATTACGTCGACAGGTTCGAATTGAAGGCACAGTCGATAAAATATCACGTGAAGAATCTGAGAAATATTTCCATTCGAGGCCTCGATCCAGTCAAATTGGTGCTGTTGCAAGTCCACAAAGTGAAGTCATTCCAAGTCGTGAATATCTTGATGACATCGAGAGTGAAATAAAAGGAAAATTAGGCGACAATGAGGAAGTTCCGATGCCAAATTGGGGTGGCTATTTAATTACACCAAAAGTCATTGAATTTTGGCAAGGACAAACAAATCGCTTGCACGATCGAATTCAATTCCGTAAAAGTAATGAAGATGTTGATGGAAAATTAGTTCATCGTGCTGAAAATGGATGGGTTATGGAACGTCTAGCGCCATAAATTGAACCAAATTGAAAGCACAGTACCATTAAGTATTGTGTAAAAATACCTTGCTTCTATAATATCCTCTTCTGCACATTGATTGATGACCTGAATAAGAGAGCAAGAAATAAATGTCTTCCGATTTCAATTATATTACGGTGAAATATCAATAGATGGAAAATGAATCAACCTGTGTATGTGTTGTATTTATAGCTGTTTTTTCTTGCAGATTGGGTTGTTTTGGAGTCAGTTTTGGTGGTGATTTTCTGGCTTTTTTGCTGACAAGAAAACTGAGAATTAACGATATTTTTTTGAATTTTTGACAACGAAAACAAACTTGAAATTTTGAAAACCGTTATATTTTAACTGATTAAAATCAGTCTTTTAATTGTCGAAAATTGATATCTTTTTTAAATCCGTTAAATGTTGCAAACTCTTTTTATAAAAATTATCAATCTAAATAATGCGCGTAACCCAGTCACACCATTCAATCAACAACTCTTAACAGTTCCTATTTCAGACATTTTTTTTTTCAGTATTCAGGATGTGATGTTGTACAACGTGTAATGAAATTATAGGCAACACATTTTTCTCCAGCATATGAACGTTATCTGACAGCGCTAATTTTACCTCTTCTCCCTCCTTAAACAGATATCGTAAAGCTGCCTTTTACACCTCATATAGAATAAAACTGGAGGGAGGGAATTTATTAGAAGTAAAAGGAAAATCTCAAGAGTGAGAAAAATATTGTTCGTGCATGAAGAAACACAAAATTTATTCTTTTCTCGACAAAAATGAGAATTATATTATTCAACAGCAACATATGTTGTACGAACAAAGAAAGAGACATAGAACTGAATACGAAAATGAATCTCAAGTGGGGTGGCCGTAAAATCGAGGGAAATTTGCTACAAATGATGTGATGATGAGATTGAAATTTTCATGATCCAGTGAACGCTATTGAGGGATTTGTGTTGTGAATATGATGTAAGAAGATTTGTTTAGAAGTTCACCTTCTAGGATCGGTTCTGGGAAATTGACTTCTTTTAAACAAACTTAATTTCGAGGTTATTTCTGAAAAAAAACAAACTTAATTTTTAGATAAGATTTTAGAAACGAACTTAATTTGAGGTAAGATCTAAGAAACGAACTTAATTTAAGGTAAGTCCTTAACTCCAGGCTAATTTTAAGGTTAGATCTTAGAAATGAACCTAATTTTGAAGTAAGTCCTTAGAAACGACCTTAATATTTGATTAGTCCTTAGAAACGAACACAACTTAGTCCTTGAGGGAGTCCTAAGATCCAAGCTAATTTTAAGGTTAAATCTTTAAAGACTTTAAATCATTAAGACTTTAGCTATAAAGATAATATGCATCTGATCTTCCTTAAAATCATCTTCTGTCCACAGCCATGTAAAGTTTATGCTACATATTTAGTGAAGAAATAAGAAAAAGTTTACAACAAAGAACTTTCTTCTTCCAATTCTGACCCTTAATCGAGCTTTTGGGAAGGAATTTAGGTTCTTCCATGCTTTACTTTGCTCATTTGCGGTTTTCCTTTTGTAAAATGCAAATACATCATTATAACTTATTTTTTATTCATGAAAAAGAGGGGTATTGAGTAATAATATGAAACCGCAGTTTTGTGGAAGTACACTCGAGACTTCACAATGCTTTAAGAAAAGAAAATTTTCACATCCGGAATTATTTTTCATAGCTTTCTGCACGAGATTGAGTTTCCAACAGCTATTGTCCTTGAACGTAAATTATCCTGATTTTACTTCCATTTAATGAGAATTCCTTTATCTTCACTCTATAATCCTCTTCATTTTATGATTGGATTTTAAATTTTATGGAAATGAAGTCAGAAAAGTCTTTTGCAATCAAGCTAATAAACGGAAAATCAATTTTCTTTCCATGATCTTCGAGCGGTTGCATTAAAAATAATTTTCCATGAAGGTTGCATGCAGCATCATTGTAAAATATTGAGCGTTTCAGAAATGATGGCGTTTGAAGAATTTTAAAGCTTCGTCCGAAAAGTGCATTGTCGCTTGGGAAATTTATTTTTAAAAACTTTCAAATGTCGGACGTGATTTATAGATTCGTATTGATTTTATTGTCCATGGTTGTTTGTAAAGCTTGTCAACAGGAAGTTTTTATTCTGTTGAGCTATAAAAATATGTTTTTTGGTTTTGCTGCTGACTTAAGCAACGATTTTACTTCCTTTTCTTGTTTTTTACATAGAATTCTTGATGAATCCTTGGAAATAACGAGAATAAAGAATGTATATAGCTCATCTGCTGTAGTTGAATTCTTTCTCAAGAAGATTATTCTCAAGTTATATAATACAAAGGAAATGAAATATGTTGTGAACAATACAAAAAGTTAAAAGGGGGTCTGAAACTATGTTGGAAAAAGGGTATTAAACTATGCAGAAAAAATTATTGTTTTTCAATTTTTAAAATACACTGGTTAAGAACGAATTAATAAATTTAAAGAAATGGGACGAATTTGTTTGGCTACTCTAGCTTCCCTGGCTCTAACACCTGATGCTGGTGAATTAAACATTAATTTTGAATTAGATCCTTGCAACTTAATATTCTAAGATTCAATCCATAAGTAAGTTTAGATTGGATCAGTCACTTTTTTAAAACTCATAATAAAATGTTTCATACTCTAATATAAATAAGTAAGAAAATTAAATGCAATAATTCAAAATCATTAAGATTACTTTTAAATTCAGTTGAATTCTTCAATTCAATCACGATTTTTCCGATCCATGCTTTAAGGAAATAAACCTCCCCCAAGCTCTATTATTGTACAGAAGAATGTGAAAAGAAAGTTCATGGATAAAGCAAGAATAAAGAAATATCATCATGAATGAAAACTGATACTTTAAAGTATAAATAAAACTGAATACCATCGGAAAAAAATAAAAGAAATGAGGGATGTAAAAAATATGATATTGAAAAATACCTTCAAGGAACAATAAGTTTTTTCTGAAAAGTTCGTCAGGTGCACGATCTAACCCTTTCTTTAAGGAAAGCACATAACTCAAGATATTGAGCTGAAGTAATTGATGGTTGGGGCGAAAGTAAGAAAACATTTTATTGTTACTGAAAATATTATTATACCTCCCCACTCTCATTTATAAATATTTAGATAATTGCCATAATATTTAATTAATTTTCATTTATTTTAATTTGATCCCATTATAATACACTTTTATTATTTTTCTATGTAAACGAAAAGCGAGTTTTCCTTCTTCTTATGTTAATTATGTTTTCAAGAATGCTTGATACCTCTCATTTTGTCTAGTGTATACTTATTACTTTTTGTTTGCGTTGAAACTGCTTTCTTTCTTCTTTTATTATTCCTTTTAGTGCTTTTTATTGATTGAAAGCAGCTCACGTGTAGATAATAAATTGATTTATTTTCATTATATGGTAAATTGAGTTTAGTTTGACTTTTTGAAATATTGTGGTATAATTGATTTTTTTGGGAAGGTTGTTGAACTTACATGTAAATTTACGAACGCTTGAAAAGTTCAGTTTGGAATAAAAGAGAATTATTAATGAAGAACTTCAACATTGATTGAGCTAATTTTGTTACATATTGATCAATATCTACAGAGCTAAGTTTCTTGATAAAGAGCTACTCTAATCCTAATTCCAAACAGAAACTATTAAGTTACAATTGAATAGAGAAGCACATTAGTCATTATCTCAGACAATTCCAAAGAAAAAGTCCAACCTGACAATTATTAAAATTTAAAAATTCAGTGCAACCTTCATTTATTATTGAATTTCTTCATGCAATGATCCATCATACCAGTACCTTCATCTCCAAATGATTTGTCAATCAACAATTTAAATCTATCGACAAAGGACCAACACAAGATATTGTGGAAAAAGCGCCAGAATAATCATTCTGCTTTAAGTCCTCGACTCTAGAACCCTTTTGCTAACAAAAAGGTTGAAGCGCACTCTTCAATGATACTTTATGCTTGGTTTCTTTAAAAAGTTGACACTTCTATTTACCCCTTTTTAAGGTAGATCACAAAAATACTCATTGAGCATGTCACGATAATAAGGAATTAGTGGTTAGGATTGATTACTTTTAAAGCTCTCATTTCTCAATTTATTTAACTCAAAAAGCTGACTGTAATTCTTCACACCTTGAGTCGAAAGTGTTCGGAATCTAAAAAAAGATAATCATTAATTCAAAGTGAAACCTGATAAACACTCATTTTTACTTCTTAAACAACACATTGAGATTATTTAAATAACGAAAATGAAGTCTACTTAATTTCATTTCGTTCTTTTTTTTGGGTACGTAAACTCATTGAATTACATTTTATTATTGTTTAATGGAAATATATAAAATGAGACGAAAAGTCGATTATTTAACTTGTTAAGAAAGCTTTTTCTACCTTTTCCTTCCGAAAATATCAACTTTCATTCGCAGAAGATAAAAGATTCTTCTTTATAGCACTCGATAATACTGAATTTTTAATGATAAAAATTTTCTCTATTGGAATTGACACCTAGTTGACACCGCTTAATGTTCTAGCTATGTTAATTTGTCATCGTCTTCGAAATTCTATGCTTGTTATAAATTGGAAATGTCTGAATGATAATTTGTTTAAAAATATTGACGTCTAGAGACTTTTTCGTCTGGTTTTATTAGCTTTAGGTGTCAATTTGAATGTTTATTGATTTTGTTGCTGCTTATTTTGAAGTCGTTGATTTAGAAATGATTTTACGATTATCAATTTAAAACATGGATGTTGACATTTGATATTAAATTTGATTTTTCAAAGAATTCTCCATGTCGAATTTTTAACCTTGAATTTCTGTTGATTTAGAACTTTAAGATATGAAATTAAAGTAAAGCATAGCAGTTTTCTAGTGAGCACGCAAGAGTTTTCAGTGAGATTCGAGTTTCATTGACTAATTATAGAAATTTTTAATAATTTCAATTTTAACCTCAAAAACACGTGCTGCAAAACAATTTCTTTGAAAATGTTCAAATTAACAAAATCCGCTCGTAAAACCAAAATAAACTCAATTACAACAAACAATAGACGATTATTACATTTCTCTAACACCAGGATATCCTCGATCAATTCCAATTAAATTGTTAAACCACATAATACAGGGAATTTCACGAACGTCAACAATGTAATTGAATGCGTGAAAATATTTGCCCT